GCTCAGACCGAAGCAGGTGATTTCCTCAAGAAGCCACGTCCAGAGGTTTCGACCTAAATGCTTAATCCACAAGGCAATTGAACAACATACAGAGATGAAGTCCTATGGTCGATGATGACCAACCATTTGGTTCATACGCCATTTGTTCCTTCAGGATACTGGAGCCAGCCTATGTGCTCCATTGGTTTGAAATCAGAGTTTCCCAACTCCCTTAGGTGGATCCTCCATACCCATCAACATTCGCATTTCATTCGCTTAATTTCTTAAACAACAACCCCATTGTGAGAAGGAAGTGAGTAGGACTTTCTTGTATACCAACGGAAATCAGTCAGTCAACAGAAACTGATCATATAAGCTTGATTTGTATTAATTTATTAGCTCTAAAGAGAATTCTTAATAAGTTAGGCTAAGTCAATTCGAATTAGATCGCTTACTATTCATTAACTAATGATATAAATGAAATTTCATGTCAATATAACAAGATCTTATGTAGTGTATATCACATTGATGACCATGATATACAACTATTGGTATTTATTGATTTTCAAGTGAAACTGTAATTTATGGACGACTTTTAAGTGACTCTAGTGAATGACCATGAAACTGTTTACCTAACAACTAAGATTAAATGAGGGGTTATAAATCATGGTGAGCAATTAGAATTATAATTTACAATTGATGATTAAGAATAGGAATTCGATTTGGGGCCGGTGGGGGGGGTCATCACCAAATGACATCAGTTATGAATCCATTTAACCAAATGAATGAGTGAATGTCATGTCGAAATCCGAGACCTATCATCTTACATTTGATAGATTCATCCATAAATTCTAGTCTCATCTTCTCCTTTATTAGTTTCTATTCAATAATGATACAGTGGATTATTAATTATTTTTTTTATAATAATTTTGTTATAGAATTCTTTTCTTCTTCAATTGACTAGTTCAAAGAATGTATCCATTCTCTGTATTCAATCCAACTTCAATGAAATACATACATATCATAAAAACATATACTAGTAGTTGAGATGGTAATTTTTCGAAGTTTCGTTCAATGATACCTATTTATTTACTTACACCTGTTACTCCTCGTGAAGGAGTATAGATCGCCCATCAGTACTCATCATCATCATCATCATCAACATCTAACCTTATCCTGGGCAATCTTCTTCAAATGATACTTGGTACTTTGTTTTGATTTATAAAAGAATTCAAGATCAACAATTCCATCATTATTATCATACAATGTACAACCTTTGATACTTTTATTTTTCGAAGATTTTGCATTTTTGTTTTCTACACATAACTATTGATATTTTCTTTCATTATTTATTTATATTTCAGTTTATGCTTTCACTGTATTATTAACAGTGATTTCATATGTTATTAACAAGGGTTTTCATATATGATGAATTGTTGTATAATTACATAACAAACTACTTATAAACTACTTATATACCATCGAATATTAGTTTATATGTATATCATGTGTCTGTGAGATCAATTTTCAGTATTTCACCCTCCCCCCCCCACATCTCCTCACCTTCATCAATGTAATAAATCGTTGAAGGGATTTCGTCGAATAAGTATGAATTTCTTCAGATGTTTATTGTTTGTTTTATGTTTATTAAAGTGTGCAAATATTAACATTATCATCAATGTAATCATTACCTAATAACTTATGTGTTAAACTAATACTAACTGAAGAAAGTTACCAAATTCAAGTGTTTTTTCCATATGAAGAACATTTCGTTTGGTTTTATTTTTTATTCAGAAAGATCGTCATATCAATATATTTACTATCTAACATTACAATTATGGAAAACTTCTAGTGTTACAAGGGATTATTATGGTTAGAAACTAATTTTAGGACTCAGTAGTTGAGTGGATAACGCGCGATGGCGTTTGAGGGGAATGGTACTGAGTTCGAGTCCCAGAGTGAACATCAACTCTGAGATGCAGGTACATCCAGCTGATAAGTCCCAAATAGGACGAAGTGACGCGCGTCCAGGATTCCACTGCTAACCACTATCCATCATTGTTTACAAATAGCTTGTGAATTAAGGCAATATCGAGGCATACGCAGAGTATGCAAATATGCCAATAACAAACTGATCAATTGCAGTCTTAAAGCTCAATGGGTAGATAAAAGCTAAACAATACCAAGTGAACTTAATTCTAGTCAAAATGTGAGACTTATAAACTGAGACTACTTATAAATGTTTATAAGTAGTTGGCTGTTATACTTAAAATTAATGTGTTAATATTATATTGACCTGTCCGATTATAGTAAATGAAATATTTAAAAAGTTTTCTGATGATTATAAAAACAAAAAAAAGTAATTCTTCTGATTTAGACTGAAGTTCAGTGGATAAAAATAATAAACCAATCAGTCGAAATACATCACAATCAAGACATATTCTAAAGTAGCAGAAGTAGTATCTGTATCAGTGGCAGTAGAAAAGATTAATATTCATTAGATAATAAAAGCCGATAAAAAGTCGATCAAATCAAGTTTAGAATATCAAACACTAGAGGCTGTTTCGATGGTTTAAGTATATCAAACACATTAAGTGATCTAAATAATTTGAGTTCCATTTTGTTGAGATTTCAGATGTGACAGATGAGAAGTCCTAAACCAAAGGAAAAGACGTGATCACGAGAGTTTAAGCATATCGGGTGTGATGTAGTTACAAACAAACGGTATTGGAAGATGATTGAATGATAACATAAATTTAATGAACTTAGAAATGTAAACCACTATATGTCGACTCAGTGACATGAAAGGCTTATTATGAAACCAGGAAGGTCCTATACTTGATACTGAGATTGTGGGAACAATGTATTGATGAGTTACACGCTAAAACAAAACAGCTTTCCAGTGCGTCGTAGTAGGAAAATTACCAGTATAGAGCAGGCATCTGTCGGTCTATCACAGCTACTTGGTCGTAGTCTTAGAGACGATACAACTCAGTAGAATGATACTTTACCAAACATGGGATAGAAAACAAATCAGTGTTTATATTGTTTTCTGAGATAAGCCTAGTTATTCTTAAATGAACTGCTTTCGTTTGCTTCTTCACTAACCTCCTTTCATTTATTTCTTAACCAGATTATCGTTTCATTTGTGTGATGCAATTTTCGGTGTCCTAACGTATCAAAATTTATGTATATTGATTAAACAAATCAACAAAATATTATAGAATCAAACGACCAATCAGCAGTATGATAAGACGATCATTTTATGATAATAATAATAAAAGACGTATCCCTAAAACGGCTAAATGCCATCAGTTCAGCGATATCCAATTCTCAGCGGTTCAATAGCTGATGTCAGTATATTTACTATAAGTAATATGTACTGTCGGTTACTATGTTAAGCCCATATACCTTACTCTAGCTTTCGGACAAGCTAATCTATTCATTCTCCTTGATTCACATTTTGACCGCGTCAATTATTCGCTTAGCAATCCTGACTATTTTTATCTGAACGCATATGTGCGTGCTCTTCTTATCCTATTCATCACATATCTGTAACTTGATTTTGTGTGACTAGAAATATTGATGAACGCTTGATTAAATGGATTTGTCTCACATGCTTACTCCACTGCGTGTCATTTCGTTTCGATACCATCAGCAATAGCCTTCTGAGGGAGAGAACAAACTAGCTTCCAGCTGAAGAAGAAATTAGGAAAAGACGATGGAAATGGATAGGAAATACATTATGCAAATCGTCAAACTGCATCACGAGGCAAGCCCTAACATGGAATCCTGAAGGGAAGCGAAAAAGAGGAAGGCCAAAGAACACATTGCGTCGGATAATAGAAGCAGATATGAAAAGGATGAATTACAACTGGACGGAGCTAGAAAGGATTGCCCAGGACAGGGTTGGATGGAGAATGCTGGTGAGCGGCCTATGCTCCTTCACGAGGAGTAACAGGCGTAAGTAAGTAAGTAAGTATCTTCGCTTCTCCGATACATTTGTCTAGATTAAGGTTTGTATGGAATATACATATTTGAAATTCATTCTCGTATTGGACTTATTTCATTTCATTATTGATTAACGCGATTTAATTCGATGAAATAGACGAGATTATGTGACATATATAATATTTCGACAGCAACCATTCAATAACCAACATTTATACGATCGAATTAGAGTCAGATTTTGGGCTATTAAAGATATTTCTCAGAATTTTTCACAATCGTATAGATGCATTCACTCTTTTCATTCTTCATTCGATCATGAGCGATAGTAGTATTTCTTTCATATGTAACCCTCCACTCTGTTATATTTGAACCTTATTCTTGATGATTTTTTTCCCCAGTGTCATTGTTACCACACTATTTATATCTCTTCACCTGCTCATTTAGTTAATCATATTATCATGCTAATATGATACATAACAACTTAGAACAAGACAAATCTGTATCAGGTTTTATGTTGATGACTGCCAGTCTATGACTTATTTCCTAAGCAGAGATGAATGAATTCGACTTTAAAGGATAATTCAGATGTGAAAAGTATTAAATACTACTTGAACTGAATTATAAATAGAATAGAACTTGAAACTACAACCTATATGATTGATAAACTATGTGTATTAACCATCAAACCATCAGGATATAAGAGAATGATTGTAAAGCAGTTGATGAGGTTGTAAACCTTTATCAACTGAACATCGATTACCACGACATGTAATATTGACCAGTCATGGAAACGGTTGTAAGAAAATTAAAGGCGGTCAAACTGAAACGTGTCATCAGTGTCTATAGTCACTAATTTCTAGTCTGAGTCATGTTGGTAGATGCAGGTTACTTGGTTGGGGTCCGCATGACCATCGTAACCAATGGTTGGAGACTGTGTGTGACATGGCTCAGATTCGGTCACAATGGCGTCGGTGTATACACACTTTGCCTTCCTTCAAACTATGAGATTAAAATCGCTTCATACCTTTCATTCTACCAACTAATTCTTTCTTCCTGTACTATATCCTTACACACAATCTTTCTTTTATATATTACTACCATTGAAGTAACGACTTCTATGAATCCGATGTTCATGTTGTTGTGCTAATGAAGTATGGCAACTTGGACCGCTGCATCTATGTGCCTGGTTCTACGTCGTACCTGACTGACTGACTAACTAGACAACACTGTGCCACTCAACACAAACCATCCAATTTACAAAGATCATCCTCTTTCATCAAATATAAACAATCTTCTAATTCATTCTTCGATGTGTTTTTTTTTTAAACATGAGATCATCATAATAACAAATAATACATATACATGATAAATTGATAGTAGTGAATAGTAATGATAAAATTACTATTTTTTATTGAAGAAATTTGTAATGGATTGTACACCTTTTGGAATTTTTGCTTTCTTCACAGTTGACTAGAACAAAATAATTTGAAGAGAAAAAACAAAACAAAATTAAACAGAATACTACTGTTGTATTAAATAAACTAACTAATCTTAGTTATACTATCATTTAGAACCTGAAAGCATTGAATGTCCGATTCGTTCTAGAATAGGACTTCTCAGAGGTTTTGTGTATCTATAATCTTGAACCAGAAAATCCAACACAGAACATTCAATCTTAACCTCGACTTCACTTAGTCGAAACCCAGTTGTGTGTGTGTGTGTGTGTCTGATTTTAGTCGACTCATGATATTGGAAGTAAGCTAAGGGCGGCCAGAACAAAACATGGCTAAAATCCATGAAGTCACTGAGAAGTGAACTGAGTCATATTGGTAGGTGTAGGCTACCTAGTTGGGAACTGCGAGATGATAGCAATCGATGGTTAGAAACCTTGAGTGATATCGCTCAAAATCGTTTGCAATGGTGTGCTCAGGTGCATCCACTCTTTGTGTTCTCCAAAATTCTGGTCTTCTGAATTCTTCATGTTCGCTATTTTTCCAATTTCCAAATTTATTTCACTGGATTATACTCCTTGAATAACATCTTCAAACCTTAATCTTTCGAATTACTGCTTATACTCTTACTACCTCTACCACAATGGGATTTGAATGGACAATTGTATCAGTGTGCTAATGTGGTATGGCAAGTTGAACTGATGTATGTACGTACGTACGTACGAAGTTCTACGTTGTTACTGACTGACTGATCTTGTTTTGCCTACGATGAATAACTGTCTCATATTGAACATGGTTAAACTCTATTGACCACAGCTTTTCACTAGAACTTGACTTGTATCTACAAGTTGATCATTAGTGATTACATGATTGGAATAAATAAATCAGGATTTTTGAAATTTGCCCAGTATTAAACACGAATTGAACTTAGCTAGATATATAGAAACACTGGATGGCTATTTCATCTTAGTATAATATAGTGCCTTAAATCGTTCTGTGAATATGACATATACAACATATGCTCGAATGATAAGCAACTGTAAATTACAAGTTTACGATAAAGTAGTTGTCAACTTAGAAATTAATGATTGGTAATTGTTTAAACTGATAGGATTTTATGTGTATTTGGCTAAAATAACAATAATGGCAACTATACCATCATCCATAAATAACTGAATGTTAATTATTTACGTCCCATTTGGTAGTAATTAGGTTTGTCTATAAGTAAAAATATTCATTTTATCTACTAATTAGAATAAAAAGGTTTAAAGTAATTCGATCTATGTAAAATAGAAATTCTTCAGTCATATGAAGAAGAACAAGCTTGACTGATCAATATTTGTGCAAACATTTATCAGACTCATTTGCATGTATAGTACTGTATATGCCTTGGTTTGGTTGAAGGTGAGGAAAGTCAGCTTTCCCTCTCGAAATACTCTCACATGACCACATACATACAACCACTGACATGGAAGTTCTACCCACTGCCATCTAGCGGCAGAGTTGTTATTTACGAAATTTAGATGAAGAAAAGCGATTGTCTGGTGCTTTAACCAGATTGATGGATATGGAGAATCCACCTGAGGGAATTAGAAAACTCTACTTTCAAACGAATAGTGGATATGGGCTACAGGATCCTAAGGGAACAAATGACGTTAAACCTATTGTTAGTCGCCGGCTACTATAAGATAGCATCTCCTAACGTTGCTTCACTGCATTGTGGATGAGACATCTAGATCAAAGGCTCGGGGAGTGACTTCTTAAGTAAACCACGTGCTTCAGTTCGGCCGACCGGGAAGTATTCCAGCCTTTACAAAAACTGAATAAGTCTAGTATATATATATATATATTTGTTTGGTGCCCTTTTGTACTAATATATTTAAATAAATGCTTTTGCATTTTGTTTTTATTCTCTTAGTCTTTCTACCCATAGATACTTCTTAACTATGTTGATATGAATGGTGGTAAATCATTCTCTTACCCTTAGTAATTTTATATAGCTCTCTAATCATTATAACTCCGCCTGGAGTCCCTCCGGGAGCTACTGCCGGTCCCAAGCCAAGATAAAGGAGGAGAGTTGGGAATGGGGTTAGTGATCCCATCCTGTAGAGAACTAACTCGTTAAAAAACACTAACCAGAGAAAAAAACATTATTCAGTATCTCCCAGGTCAAAGAAAAAGAAAAAAGAACAGAATGAGATTTACAAAACAACAACAACATACTTCATTGATCTTTGATTCATTTAACTTTAATGCTGAAGAATAGTCTTCTTTGGGTTGATAATTTTTCGACTTATGTAAATATTAAAACATAAAGTGAATCAAACAATGACTTATATAAGATGAACAGTACGGTAAAAAGTTATTAAATTATTTAAAAAGGGTCAACTAGGTCATGATCTAATAAGATTATATTAATGTCACCAAGAAGAATGATGGTGGTACGTTATAAAGTACTTTAATAATCATTGTATTTTTAGTTAAGAGCTTTACGATAACCAAAGACTCTGGAGGAACAAATGGAGTATGAACCAATCGCTGATCACCACAGTTACCATGGGACTGTATCTCCTAGCGTTGCTCCACTGCATTGTGCATCAGACCTTTAGCTTAAAGGCTCCAGATGTAACCGCCATCTAAGAAAACCACCTGCTTTGGTTTGGGCACCCAGGCAGTAGTATCACAGCCCTTACACAAATTGAACGATTTACGTGGCGCATATGTATTTGGTGCCTCCTTATATCAATATTTATGTGTTCAAATAAAATCAATAAATAAATGTGATTAAAATTTGGGTTATTTAATCATTGAGCCCTTAGTCGGTTGGCTATGAACAACAATCATGTTTCTAAGTTCAACAATCGTTATTACAGAATTTTCGGAGGTCTCACTCACCACTACAGATATACAGTTTAAGAATTCCAGATAAAAAAAGGGTAAAATAGAGAAACAAATATGAGAATATACTTCTCTTGAACAAAGTAAGTAATCATTCGTGTATTTTGAAACTAACAACATTATGATATTGTTAAGAGCGAGTTACATTTGAATCTTGAGTTAGATTCCCATAGCTTAGTGAAAAGGAAATAAGGCGAGACTCTAATTTATGGATGACCTTTGAACGAATCGTAAGTGACCTTGAGAAATATTAGCCAATCAGCACACGGTCAGTTTAGAGTAAAAATATATTATTATACAAAACCATGGAAATTAAGTGGATACACTTCTTAGACGTAGTTCAAAAACTTGTCAAAGTTAGAAAGAGGTTCAGAGGTTCTAAAATCATAATGCATGTACTAGAGGAAATCATCCATATGTCTACAGAATAGTCGGCCTCTGGAGCCATGATAAAGTCTCAAAAACTCTTTCAGCCTCAACCGTGTAACTTCAATATTGTTTATGTGCACTCCGGTTGTTGAGTACACGAAATGCTACCTGTGGATAACGACATGATGCATATAATCAGGCCTATGTAGAAGTCTGTACGCTCTCCAATCATCCGTACATATTGTACTACCTGACTTCAGCCAGTGTTACTGGCGCTTTTATTATCCAGTTCGCAATAATTGTCGTAATTTGCATTAGTTAGGAATTATATATCGGGTTTTCATCACAAACTGACATCAGCTATAATGCCAGAAATTTATTTAGCCAAATAGATGAAAGGTTTTCGTACCGAACTCCGAGATCTATTATCTTATACTTGAATGATTCGTCCACAAACTATAGCCTCGCCGTTTTATTTGTTATAGCCGCTCAATTATCACGTTTTGTACAAAATTCCCTGTGAACCGATCGTACGTTAGCATTAAGCACTGAAGTTGGCACTGTAACCTTGAAATCTCTCAAACGTTTCTGATTGACTCGACCATAAATTAGAATCTCACCGGAAATAAGTTTCTTTTTTTTATTATAATAAAATCAACTTACATTAAATGACTTCTGGATAGATTTATCATCAATAGGATCTATATTTTCAGAGGAATTCATATCTGGTAAACTGAATTCAATCGTTTTTAATCCAATTTTTTCTTGAAGCTTAATGTATAAATCAGGTGAAAGATAATCAGCTACTAATTGATAGGCTAAATGTAAACATGTTTGATGTGACAATTGATTGGTTGATAATATTTCAGCTTCTTTGGAACCTAATTTACAGAATACAAAACATTAATGATGAAGTTTATTGATAACTATCTTTTAACGCTATAAGTAATTTATTATTGTAGTAACAAAGAAAGAAAGAAATATTTGTACTAAATATGCTAGTTATTAAGCCTGTTTCATCTCTTTTAAGCATAAAGAGCATCCATTTATGTAAGGTGATTGTTGAATGAACAAGTATAAGATCCATCACTCCCGACCGTTGTTGCTACCTCGATGTGGTGGTCTGGCTTGCCTATCGTGATGAAGCAACCGAGCTATACTGGCTGGAACAACCGTTCCTCAAGATCTTACCATGTCAGACAGATCGGTTGAAGAGCGGTAAGACTAAAAGCAACAAACTCAAGGTTCGAAGGCGAAATCGTACTGCTAATTGTACAGAGGTGTGACAGCAGTAAGGTGTTTCCTTTAGACAACCAGCATGACAGCGATGTTGTCTTCCCACAAGGAGAGGTGGGGTTAGAAAAGGTCTACCCTACAAATTCACACATCGCCTTATCCCACGGATATCCGTCTCCGGTGATGAGGTTTCAACAAGTACGGAGATAACACGAAAATTACTCATAAAAAGGTCGTGTGTGACCGACCTCAAGCAGTTCTCCCTTGGGCACTGCGGCCACGCTCTCAGGTCACTAAGACCACTTCTAATCCGATTTCCTTTTCAGGTACCTCCAGAAGAACCCTTCCACGGTGTGGGCAACCGGGAAGTGATAACCGCCCTCATACCTGTAACAGCACTCAAGACCACTGTATTCATAATCACATATACGAAAAATACTTAGAGTTATGACAAATCAGTGAGTCAGTTACGACGTAGGACCAGGCACATGTATGCATCGGTCCAAGTTGTCACACCTCATTAGCACAGCAAGACAAACACCGGATTCATAGCAGTTAACTCAATGCTGTAATATATAAAGGAAACATTGTATATAAGGATATAGTACAGGAAGAAAGAGTTAGTTCGTAGAAAGAAAGATACAAATCACGTGCTACACGTCATGTTGTGCATAGTTCCTGTCAAGTTAATACAAGAATACAGCATGTTATACAGAATAAAACAACACACTGGAAAACAAAACAGATACTACACTGAGTAATAACACACTGAATTTAAAAGGAAGTACTATTGAACAAAATTCACAATGAGTAGAAAAATTTGATGTTGCCCTTTTACCCCGTCATAACAATTCGATTCAATGGATGATTGCTAACGCCTTTGTGAATATTACTGTCTCAATTATTCCTTAACAAATGGGACTGTCATGCATAGAATTTCGCCATTTTTGCAGAAGTACTGTTCATTTCGATCGTGCGAAGTACATGCTGCTGGTCCAATTCAAGTAGCCTGTATGTCATAGAATATGAAAACAATACAACCTACATACTCTTGGATGATATGTCTTTCCCTACATAACAGGTCTACATCAAAAACAAACACTTAGTTGTTCCCAGAATATAATCTATAGGAAAACTAAAGATTAAGTGATATTGATTAGCTTTGGTTACAATATGTTCGGAATAGTGAAGGGGTATGGCTGTATATCTTCAATGTGTTGTGAAGCTATCATTGTCGTTCTATTAGTTTGGCAGAACAAGCTATTAGTGATTCGTGGAGAAATCCTGATGCCTCACTCTTATTTGGAGCTTGTGCTGATAAGATCTAGAAAGAATATGAGTTTCATGATTAAACCAACCAAGCTAGGAAAACAATCTACCAAAATCTTCATGAATAAGAAGTCTTTACCTTCAATCTACCAAAATTTCGTTAATGAGAGTGATATTTTTAGATAAGGAGTTTCAAAATTGACCTCTTAGACTAGTAACAAGCGGTCTTGAAAATGAGAAATGCAACGGTTGGTGGTGTAAAACACACTTGTCAAATCCACTAAATTATATAGAGTAGACAGCATTTTAACAACACGCTGAGACATCCTAAGATTGTTAATTAGTATCACATATACTTTAAGCAATTTGGTTTCCTAAATCAGTGAGTGCCACAAATTAAAACATAATTACTAATTGGCTATACGAGTTGAGGTATCTCGTTTGATTTATATAATATCTGGGTTTGGGTACGCTTATTTAGGGATAAAATTCACTGACTGAGGTTTATTGTCCTATTGACCGTCGTATATTTAGTCACGAGAGGATTTGGTGTCAAAAAAATGAAAGGGAGGTTTAAACCGTAGTTAAATATGCAACAAAGAAATTATTTGTGGATAAAACAATAAAAATTTTGAAAAACTCTTACTAGAAGTAAATTCTGGAACCCGTGAATCTTCACTTTTTCCATCGTACTGATCAGAAGACGAACTAGTAGCAATTAATCGAAGCTGAGAAACTAAAACAGGATTCTTGCAGTTGTAGGAAGCCTTATAAACAGCAGATACTCTATTCGACAACCACTCGATCGCCTTAGATTCATTTAACCGATAAACAGATAAACTACCGATACCTTTGAAAAACAAATGGTCATGATACATAAGGATTGTCAATACAAGTTCATAATTTGTAGTTTGTGCACTAAAACAGTTTTTCTGGTTTACTTTATAAATGCGCTTCGGTATGCAATAAAGCTGAATGAATTGCACACTATGTAACATATATTTTCGACTAGCCATTAAATGCAGTACGAACCTCAACAAACAAAATGCGATAAACTCTAACCCTTTACTATTTAAAACAATTAGTCCCTTTCATAAATTTCGATAATGATATTAGAAGACGAAGATTATCAGAACTATGTGATATATTAGCGCAATACATTTCGAACAATCTGGTCACACATAAGATACTTGTTAAGAGCATTTATATATAAAAATAAAAGGTCAACTAGACTGGAAACGGGGTAAGAGGAGATAAGGCTAATAATAATAAGAGTAATAATAATAATAATGTGAACACAAAGCGAAACCTAATCACTCTGGATAATAAGTCAATATTACCAGGGTAGGTTTAAGGTAAGAACAAACTGTTTTTGAACACATAAAGGGGGTTAGGATATTCGTATGGCTAAGGCTTTCATAAACCTTAGTATACGCCCTTTTACACTTTTATACAGCACTATTTTATTTATTTATTTATTTGAACACATAAATATTGGTACAAGAGAGCGCCAATATATATGCGCCAAACAAAACAATGAGAATTCAAGAGAAGTAGAAAAAAAAACTAAGGAGCGCAAAAGAAAAAGAGAACAATGACGAAGAGATTGAAGTAAGGTAGTGTGGTAGTAACGACGGAACGAAAAGGTACAATCAGAAGAAATCTTTCGTGTAAAGGAGACACAATCACTTTTTATGAAGAAAGTAAAAGAAAGTTACAGCAGGATCGCCACTGGCTTCTATTCTGAGCCATATCTGATAACGTCCCTAGCCACTGTGTTGCACCATCTCTCAGACCCCAACCAGGGAGTCGTGAAGGACCGACAGAAGCCAGTCCTTTGCAGCTTTCTTTCATACCACGACACCATGTCATGCACTGACCACCTCTCCGCTTCTTCCAACCAGTCCCAGAGTCGGCAAATAATGCACGACGTGGAATTCTCTGGGACGACATTCGGAGAACATGTCCAAGCCACCGAAGTCGGTGTTTCAAGATGGTGACACCAATTGCATTATCGTCTCTGTGCCCGAACACACGATGCCGAACCTCTGCATTACTGACATGATGTTGCCACTGGATGTCAGCAATCCTTCGGAGACAGCGATGATCGAACACAGAGAGTCGTCTAACGTCCTCAACTCGGAGAGACCAGGTTTCACAAGCATAGAGCAAAACTGCTCTCACCGACGCGTTGTAGATCCGACCTTTTACAGCCAGACTAACATCATGAAGGCGCCAAAGGTGGCCCAGATTGGCATAAGCCGCTCTGACTTTCACTATACGTGCATTGATCTCATCACTCACACCCCCACCAGCACTTATGCAGCTACCCAGATACACGAACTTCTCGACTACGTCTATCTGCTCACCATCCAGGGTGAGTACAGGATTGGAATCCTGCCAGTCTTGTAGAAGTACTTTGCACTTCGACGGTGCAAAGCACATACCATACCTACGGACACTGATTGCCAACTGATTAAGTGCGGATTGCATGCCTTGGGCATTATCGCACAGTAAGACAATATCGTCCGCATACTCAAGGTCGAGAAGTCTTTCTCCAGGCAACAGATCCACACCACCATTACTTACATTCATCAGAGCTGTTTCCAGAATGTCATCGATGGCAAAGTTGAAGAGGAATGATGAGATTGGGCAACCCTGACTAACCCCACTGCTCGAATGGAACAATGGAGAGAGGTGGTTGTATGCCCTCACTCTGCCTGAGGTGTTCTTATATAAAGCTTTCAGGATGTTAATAAACTTCTCAGGCACACCCTTCTTCAATAGACAATCCCAGAGAACAGTCCTATCCAACGAATCGAAGGCAGCCCTGATGTCAAGAAACACTACGATTGTTGGCCTTTGAAAAGTATGGTGGTGTTCTAACATTTGGCGGAGGGTGAAGATATGATCAATACATCCTCGACCAGAACGAAACCCAGCCTGCTCCTCGCGAGTCAATCTTTCTCGGGTTTTGAACAACCTACGAAGAATGACGGAAGCCAATAGCTTGGACGCAATCGGAAGCAAACTTATCCCCCGATAGTTGTTGCAGGAACGACGTGAACCCTTTTTAAAGATAGGGACAACTATTGACTCATTCCATGACGTTGGTACACTCTCTAGTTCCCAAACCTTTGTAAACAACGTCGTCAATTCCTTAGTCAAAAAGTCACCACCATGTTTAAAAAGAGCCGGAGGTAAGTCATCTGGGCCAGGTGATTTGTAACGCTTCAAGAGTTGGAGTTCCTTGCGGACTTCCTCCTCATTTGGTGGATCAGTCGTCACCGGCCATGGAGGGCAGGATAGTCTGACCGATGTTGCCGGAGCAGCAGGCCAGTTGAACTGCCCTTCGAAAAATTCTGCCCATCGTCCAAGACGTCGATGGATGTTAGTGATTGGCATCCCATCATCCTCGCAGATTGTTTCACTCACACCAGACTTCTTCCTGCCAGTGGCTCGGATGAGCTGGAAGAGCTTCCGGTAGTTACCAGATGCAGCTGCTGCTTCCAGCTCATTAGCACGCATCGGCCACCAGGCTTCTCGGTCCTTACGCAAGCTTTGCCCGATTTCCTTACGTAAAATCCTTCGTTTATGGTCAAACTCACGGTCACCCGGAGTAGACCGACGGGCTTCAATGAGTTGTAAGGAACCTGGAGAAACCCAGTGCTTAAAAGCGGGACGTTTTGCAAACCCACAACTGACTGTTCCCGCCATTTTCATGGCGTCATGCAATTGCAACCAATGCTCATCTATACTTTTCGGTGGAGTGGTAGCTAGCCTAGAAGCTAGCTCGGTTCGATACTTATTTGCAACAGAAGTTGCAACCAGCTTGCTAACATCAATCCGTTGATGGCGTTCACTTCGTTGTCCACTGAAAAGTAAGGCAAGATTGGCGCAGACCAAGGCATGGTCAGAGTCCATATAGGTACTCCAAAAGGAGCGGCAGTCTTGTACACAACCACGCCAGCGGTAGCTGATCGCGATGTGATCAATCTGAGTCCAGGCTTGAGATGCAGAGGGAGGACGCCAGGTGGCACATCGGCGATGACTGTGCCGAAAGTTAGTGCTAGCCAGAAACAGGTTGTGGTCTGTGCAAAGTTGCAGTAGACGGTCCCCGTTATCTGACCTGCGACCAACGAGTCCCCATTGGCCACCTAAACGACTCTCTTCTGTGCCTAGACGCCCGACCTGAGCATTCAAGTCTCCGGCTAGTACTACAATATCTGTCGAACGCACTTTCTGGAGAAGAACTGATAACTGGTGGTAAAACTCATCCTTGATTGCATCCGGGCTGCAATCTGTCGGGGCATAGGCGGAGATGACGAAAAGACATCGTTTCTCACGCCGATTTCTTCTCACTTTGATGGAACTTTCTAATCTAACAGCACATAACCGACTGTTAATGGGGATCCAATCGACTAGTGCTGCCTCAGCTCTAGCGCTTAGTGCGACACCAACGCCAGCAAGACCAGACGAAGATGCCACAGGGTCCCCGGATAAACGCATGTAAAACAAGCTTTTCGAAGCGACAGATGGAGATCGAATTTGTAGTACTTCGCCAGAGTCTTGAATACGGGTCTCGGATAGACAACAAACATCAATATTAAGACTTTCCAAAGACATAGCCAGCCCTATCTGTTGTCCGACCTGCATAAATGTGCGAACGTTGAAGGCAGCCAGTTTGAATGGTGCACGTGGTTTCAGAAAATCTGCTTCAGTCCTCGTATACGGTGGTAACATACAATTTTCAACCGGACAGTGACTCGAGAACGTTTAGATACAGTCGAATTTCCACCAAAGACGAGCCGCTGTATAAGTATAAAAGAGGGTGAATAATGTGGATAATAATAATAATAATAATAATAATAATAATAATAATAATAATAATAATAATAATAATAATGACAATAATAGTAGTAATAATAATAATAGTCTTAATAATGACAATAATTGTGATGATAATAATCTGAATCAATTGTTTGTTTTTCAAAGCGAGAAAGGCGATTTCCATAGGCATAAAGAGTTCATCAATTTGTGTGTGGGCTGTGATACTGCACGGGTGCCCAAACCGAAGCAGGTGGTTATCTTAGGGGGCCACACCCCGAGCCTTTGACCTAAAGGTCTAACCCACAAGGCAGTGGAGCATCGTAAGGAGATGCAGTCACATGGAAGCCGGTGACCAACGATTGGTTCATACGCCATTTGTTCCCGCAGGGTACTGGAGCCTATGTGCACCATTGATTTGGAATCCGGTTAAAGCGCCGGACATTCGCTTTTCGTCCTCTCATTTTCGTAAACAACACCCCCGCCACGAGAAGGCAATGAGTAGGACTTCCCTGGCAGAGGCTGTATACGCATGGCCGTGTGAGAGTATTTCGAGAGGGAGAGCGGACTCTCCCCACTCTCGGCCGTACCAGGGCATTCAGGGGGCTTATACAGCACTAAAAAAGCTGAAATTAGATCAATCTTGTGACCTGTTTCAATTATATGTTTAGCAATAGAGAATGATGGATGTTTATCCTCTGCTCTTATTGGGTCACTTGATTGTATTTGTTTCTGAAGCCATTTGGGTACATGTTCACTCACTCCTCCCTATGTATGTGTGACCACACACACATTTAAATTGGTAAACACAGTGGGATGTGACGCAATCGTTTCCATGTACTTTAGGTTTTGAATGAAGCATGCACCTTGTTCTTTCTTTGATGATGACCTTTGCTGCGCAATAGGTTTTATTGATGACTGATTTAAGTCGTTGTTTCAATAAAAGGCTATTTGAATCACCTCTGAATGGTAAGGTGATGTAGACAGGCTTTTTCTCTACCGAGGCTACAGTAGGTCTCGCTGTACCATGGACTTTCCATCTATTTATTAATTTCAGAGGATAGCCATTTTCTATTAACGTTTTATTTAACAACTTAACATCATCAATGGCGTCATTGGTACAAATACGGTCGAGTCTGTTGAAAAGACACCTTATCAAACCACGTTTGTATTGCACACGTGATTGAAAGTTGTTTTCAGATATGTAATCACATAATATATCAATGGTTTGTTTAAAAGGTACATTTGTAAACAAGGAATTTACATCAAATGAACACATTGTCTTTTCCTTGATATTAATATCATCTAAAGGATTCTTTTGAACTGGTTGATCATTTAGATGATATTAATATCAAGGAAAAGACAATGTGTTCATTTGATGTAAATTCCTTGTTTACAAATGTATCTTTGAAAAAACCATCGATATATTATGTGATTACATATCTGAAAACAACTTTCAATCACGTGTGCAATACAAACGTGGTTTGATAAGGTGTCTTTTCAACAGACTCGACCGTATTTGTACCAATGACGCCATTGATGATGTTAAGTTGTTAAATAAAACGTTAATAGAAAATGGCTATCCTCTGAAATTAATAAATAGATGGAAAGTCCATGGTACAGCGAGACCTACTGTAGCCTCGGTAGAGAAAAAGCCTGTCTACATCACCTTACCATTCAGAGGTGATTCAAATAGCCTTTTATTGAAACAACGACTTAAATCAGTCATCAATAAAACCTATTGCGCAGCAAAGGTCATCATCAAAGAAAGAACAAGGTGCATGCTTCATTCAAAACCTAAAGTACATGGAAACGATTGCGTCACATCCCACTGTGTTTACCAATTTAAATGTGTGTGTGGTCACACATACATAGGGAGGAGTGAGTGAACATGCACCCAAATGGCTTCAGAAACAAATACAATCAAGTGACCCAATAAGAGCAGAGGATAAACATCCATCATTCTCTATTGCTAAACATATAATTGAAACAGGTCACAAGATTGATCTAATTTCAGCTTTTTTAGTGCTGTATAAAAGTGTAAAAGGGCGTATACTAAGGTTTATGAAAGCCTTAGCCATACGAAAATCCTAACCCCTTTATTTGTTCAAAAACAGTTTGTTCTTACCTTAAACCTACCCTGGTAATATTGACTTATTATCCAGAGTGATTAGGTTTCGCTTTGTGTTCACATTATTATTATTATTACTCTTATTATTATTAGCCTTATCTCCTCTTACCCCGTTTCCTGCCTCTCGAAATGCTCTCACACGGCCATGCGTATACAGCCTCTGCCAGGGAAGTCCTACTCACTAACTTCTCGTGGCGGGGATGTTATTTACGAAATTGAGAGGACGAAAAGTGGATGTCCGGACATGGGCTCCAGTATCAAGCGTGAAAAAAATGGCGTACGAACCAATCGTTGGTCACCGGCTTCCATGTGACTGCATCTCCTTACGATGCTCCACTGCCCTGTGGGTCAGACCTTCAGGTCAAAGGCTCGGGGTGTGGCCCCCTAGGAAAACTACCTGCTCCGGTCTGGACACCCGTGCAGTACCACGGCCCACAGCGCCGTCTGGCTACAAAAGGTCGGATCTACAACGCGTCGGTGAGAGTAGATTTGCTCTATGCTTATGAAACCTGGGCTCTCCGAGTTGAGGATGTTAGACGACTCTGTGTTCGATCATCGCTGTCTCCGAAGGATTGCTGACATTCAGTGGCAACATCATGTCAGTAATGCAGAGGTTCGGCATCGTGTGTTCGGGCAGAGAGACGATAATGCAATTGGTGTCACTATCTTGAAACACCGACTTCGGTGGCTTGGACATGTTCTACGAGTGTCGCCCCAGAGAATTCCACGTCGTGCATTATTTGCCGACTCTAGGACTGGTTGGAAAAAGCTAGGTGGAGAGGTGTTCAGTGTATGATATGGTGTCGTGGTATGAAAAGAAGCTACAAAAGACTGGCTTGTGTTGGTCCTTCACGACTCCCTGGTTGGGGTCTGAGAGATGGTGCAACACAGTGGCTAGGGACGTTATCAGATATGGCTCAGAATAGAAGCCAGTGGCGATCCTGCTGTAACGTTCGTTTACCTTCTTCATAAAAAGTGGTTGTATCTTCCTTAACTGAAAGATTTCCTCTGGTTTTACCTCTCCGTTTCCCCAATTATTATTATTATTATTATTATTATTATTATTATTACACTGCCTTACACTAATCTGTGGCCGTTATTGTTCTTCTTTCTTTCTTTTATGCTCCTTACCTTACTTTTTTTCTCTTCCCATTCTCACTGTTTTGTGCGGCGCATATGTATTTGGTGCTCTCTTGTACCAATATTTATGTGTTCAAATAAATAAAGAAAAACTAAGTAAATGCGAGATTAATTTGGCTACATACAAGAATCCAAGAAAAAAGGAACTCAAAGAATAAACTACACGAGATAGAATGGATGAAATCCACTAAAATTCAGTATTTGAGTACATATTCACAATACACACGATTCACGAAAGGACAGATGACATGATACACCAATTAATACGAATACAGGGATTTTCCATAAGTCTCTCTAGAACTAAAACCCTGATCTTAAGACAGCTAACGAGACTAGTGCATAGTGAACAAACTGATATCAAACATACCTACAAATGGTACGGGAACAAAAAGTATTAAAAATGACCTAATTATGGTGCGTAAAAAACCATGTACAGTAACTGCATCTAGTAATTCTTATGAAGAACAATTTTTTAAAGATGGCCATGACTCATGGTGAGAATAAAGACTTACACCTTTTGTCACAAATTTCTTCAAGACGACTTTCCATGTTGGGAATGTTGCTGAAGACATCGAAACATCCACCAATTTCACTCAACATAGCATCCCATGAAATAAACTTGTCCTAGAAATGTAATTCTCTAAAGTTAAAAGACAAACATTTTTTCTGCAGAATGATATGAAGAAGAAGAGGGGGTCAATTCGGTTACAAACGTACATCCCACCATCTACATGTCTTCATATAACAAGTATTTAAATATATATACCAGATTTGATATTTTCACCAAGCATCCAAGACCGACATTTTTCGTCGATTTTCTGAATTTCAAAAAGCTCTGAAGACTGACCATCCCACAGATACAAACAAGGTAAATCTAGAAAGGTTACGAGGCCCAAGTCTATCCAAAGAAACGACGTCCTACCTGATCTTGGATGTTTTAGTCTAATTAAAGAACACTTTGAAGGCTGGCATGTAACGCTATCTACGGACATATACAATAGCTATGAGAGAAGGTACCTGGAATTAGGAACACAGAGCTACAATCATGCATTTCAAACCACACGGTAGCGTGTAATTGAAATCAACCCCTTAATGCTTCAGCGACCTTGATCGGCCTTCATCATGGCAGTCACTTCATATTTGAAGTGCACCATGTCAGTGGCGTGTCTGTTGGCTACATCACTGTGGTATTCAAAATTGGTTCAAAGTGGTTCTGGATAAAACAGAAGAAAAACTTGATTAACCGGCTTCCGTATTTAGTAAGAGCGGATCACAGATGCCGCAACGTAAGAGCCTAATAATATTTAACGCTAAAAGATAAAAATACTGGTAAGTTGTGCTGAAGTACTGTGTTCTGTTCTTAAGAATGTAGCGGTAAGTAAATCCCAAAAACAAATAGCTCTGTAAGTCTTCGACATTGGATGCTGACCATATTAGTTTTAGTGGACTCACCTAACTGAAGGCTCTCGGTCATGCATCCGCACTAGATCACGAGTGGGAACGCCGTCCTCATCATCCCCTGCAATCGCTAGCCAGATTGAATCAGACGATCCTCCATACATTAACAGCTTATCAAATATATCTTCGAACCTCCTCGCTTCTGTCTTTTGATTTCATTTGGTGGATACGATTCATATTGGGTGTTACTGTTTAAGCGTTGTCGAACTCTAAACACCTTTGGCATCTTCAAGAATATGTCAATTCTCCTAATTAAGGACTCCTGGAAAGTCGCTTAGACTAGCTCAGACGGTAGCGAATTCCACAATTTGCCTACTCTCAATGAGTAGCAGGTTTTACTAGTCCGTCATACTGTGTTGTGCCTCCAGTTTCTTGGTGTTATCCCAAGTGTTGTGTTGGGGCTAAGCTTATTAAGGTGTTTAGTGGGATGTCAAGAAGCATTTAGGTTGCTGTACTTCAACGGGTGAAGTTTCGGTTACCGGAAGCAATTTTCACAAGTCTTAAATTTGAGTACCCGTGTGGAGATAGGCCCGACAAGCTTATTTTGTAAATAGTTTTCAGTGTTATTTGTATTCATTTTGTCAACCTTCCACTGTATTTATATTTAACATTAAATGACTGTAACTGTTGTTTTAGTAAATGACCTTGAACACACTTTCCGTTGTGCAACCACGTAGCGTGACATACTTTTGCTGGCTAACAAATACACTACTACTCACATATTCCTCGTTCTATCTTCGTTTGTGATTGAGTTATCTGAAGTCTAAATCAAATACTATCATTATTTACAAACTGTAATTGGAATACATCACATTCTACTTTGGATTATATCACTGGAGAGTTCGTCAACCCGATCAGAATCACCAAGCGTTTATAATTGTGGATTTGCAATACCAGACCCAATCGGAACACGCAACATTTGGTCATTTTAATTAACGTCCCAAATTTTTTTGTATTTGTAACATTTAACTGGTATATATTGATATTACTATTGATTTTTATTAACTTTGTTGATACCTTTTTTCGTTTATATATCGTCTGGTCCACCACATCCGAAATGATTTAGTGGCTCGTTGTTGGATGACGTACAGATTGTCGTTATACTTTTGGAGTGAGAGCAGAAAAACAATGCTTCCGTACTCTAAATTGTGACGAATAAAACTGTTAGGGGTTATGTGGAAAGTTCTTCCACTAGAGTGGCAGAAAATGAGCTTTAACGTTAACAGTACGAGGATTTTTCCAAAGGCGTTTTTGTCGCAGTTAGCCTGAGATTTCAAGTGGCAGGGCACATGCACTCAAATCTTTCTCACCTTGGGGTACCTCTAGACAGAAGTTGCAAGTTGCATTTGTAGTCTTCAACATGTGTCATATGGACTACCTTACTAATCGATGTATTAGAGATAAGCCTGTTGTCATCTGCTCAACTTTAATGTCGAGACAGATCCTCCTGAATTGGTTGTGTAAGTCTCCAAAGTTTCACATCATGGCCCAAAGGTAACAAATCTTGTGATAACTGCTAGGGGAGGTCGTCCATATAAATAAAGAAGATGAGATTGTAGTGACCTACTTTTATCAAGAGAACGCGATTGGTGTATTGGAAGCAATTACTATTATAACGAATTTTGCCTGTGATTTTTTTTACCGTGCTCGTTTGTTTAATTGTACCAAAACACATACCTTCTTCCGTTGACTGTGACCTTGCACGCTTTCGGTTACGCTTGGTAGTTTCGCTGGCGCACTATGCGTGTTAGATCACGGGTTTTCGCGCACATGTAACATTGTCATGGATTTTATGTGTCGTTATTTATCAGCTATTAACAGCCCTTTCTCCATCATACGTGATTTCTCGTAAACTTTGTGATTGGAAGATAGTTTTTATTTCAATTTATAAGCAGTTTGACGTATTTCGTGCCCACCACCTAAGTAAATATGTAGTTGGCGTAATATGGTTATTTTTAACAATACAAAGTCAAACAAGTCAAATCACCATTTTTCTAGTCAAAAATAGATTACAGATTGAGTTTTCATGAAAATAAGCTGTAAAAAGCATTATATATGGTTCACCTCCTTGATTATGGTGACGGCAAACATAGATATCCGTAGTCGTTCATAAAATGTAATTAGAAAGAAGTAAGCGCTAAACTAACTATGAATATTATATAAATTGTATTTAGCCATAAAAGGTTATTTGGACTATAGGTAGCATTGATTTGTACTGAAGTGACATATTATTGTGTAACGTATCAGAGAAAAATTATGTGAGTAACAATTGACGTTGATAGTCTTTTTTACCGGCTTTCTAGACGTATACAGGAACAGTGTATAACACCGCAATAAATAAGCACAAAATCTTCATAAGTAAAACGATGGGTGTCTCTTCTGAGCATGGTGACAAAACCATGTCTTACTTAATACTGACTTATGATGTGTCTGTTAGAAGGTTGACGAATAATTTTCTGTAAACGAAATTCACAATCGCAGACGAAAATGTGAACAAAGTTATGATGCATATTGTCGAGTAATATCTAAATGGTGCTTACCAATTCCTCTTGCTAATACCAGATGTATAGACAAAATACTACAAGGTTAAACACTGAAGAAATTCCCAGTGCTTGTTACGACACAGACTTGAATAAAAAACAACTATTAATGAGTTAATTCACGAATTCCTCCTGCATTACAGACTGACTCGTCCGAAGTAATTCATACAGACAACGTGACGAAAAGTGAATGAGCAATGGAAGCAGAATCACAAGTTCCTTGTATTCATATCTCCTTTATGCCACATTAATTAATTACATTTTCTTCATAAGTCAGACTACGCTTGTATGTTGTGACGAAACTAACTTCAGCAATTTGTAAATAACACTGATATGTGTGTTGTAAAGATCACCTATTAATTTTTATTAAAGGAAATAGAAATCTCTAACGATTAGCGCTGTCTGCAAATAAGAGACTTATAGGTACATTCTGTAACCTGTTATTTGATTGACTTATTGAATGTGATACTGATAACTAAGTCTAATTCTTTATTTCACGACTGATTTGTTGTTTTCCGTATTGCCTAGTAACATTTTATTCAACCAATGAATTATTGAAATATAAATATAGCAACTACACTCAGTGTCTTACTTTATAAACCGTGTCCGTATTTATTAATAGTCGATATGACGCTAGAACAAATATAAATAGATAATATTATGAACTCCTTATAATCCATGGAATGAACAAGTAATAAGATGGATTATGTAGTAATTCATTTCACTTTTAAAATTTAGTTACCGATTTATTCCAGCACCCTGTCACTTACATCTCACTTAATCCTCTGTAATTATGTGACCTCTTCAAATTGTAGTCAATTATTACGTAACCGAAGTTTTCAGTTCTTAAATCCACGGATCATTTATAAGCTATAAGGTTTTCACACCACTTATCTGTCTGTGAACTTTAGTCCACTATTAGACAACCCATTCTTAATGTTTTATTGACTGTAAAAACAAATGACCTTTGACCTTAAACTGCACATGTATATATATATATATATATGTATATAGCCATTATTGATAACCTACGTCATTTCAATTGTTCATATTCAGGTATGTCAACTGTTTCCCACATCACTGTTAAATCCTAATGCATATTTAGTTATAATGAATGCATACCACTGTTAATCAACATTTCCCCTGGTTTCATTTTAATTCATAAGCGGAACTAATCACATGAAATTAAAATCTACTTACTACTGATACTATTTTGATGATAAACGTAATCCGACGAAGGTGAATATGATATGTGGGTGCTTAATCTGCAAGACTGCACGTGAATGTAAGGTTTCTTAATCATTCTTAATTATTACAGACAGTTACACATGAACATCATTGCTATTCATTCCCATGAAAGTAGGAATAAGATGAAAATTAAAATTATGAAAAAGTTTATTGAATAATCATTGCTGCTAAAGCAGAAAATCAAGTTTACAAGTTGGTATTAGGAATTCTTAAGTAATAATTGTCCACTTTCTTCTCGACTTCCGTTGCGAAACGTTCACCATACTTCTCAATGATGCGATGCTTATGGATTCTTTGGCTTCGTTGAATACTTATATACACTTCACTCCGTCGTGGTAATGTAGTTAATGTATTATTTTGGAAGTTCTGGGTATTATGTAACTTCCATCTGCTACAATACCTAAGAAGTTGATGAGCTATGCAGTTAGTATTTCATAATTGATATAGCTTACCTGTAAGACTTCTTCTTTTAACGTAGGCAAGTAGCATGTGACGGCACGGATATCGACACATCATAAACGTGCTACAGTCGCATTGACAAATGCTTACATCCACTTCATAATGTTGTCCGCGGTCAACCATAAACAACCAGTCGCCGCTTTCATATTCCATATAGACGAAACGCATTTGTTTAAGTTCGTATAACACTTTAGATCTTGCGAATGGGGTCAAAATGTTTAGCAAGGGTATAAGACGCTGTGGAGCATTATATTTATAAGATCTTTCGGCTATCACTTGATCTTCGGTACTTCTTCTAGTTGACGTCATTTCACTCCATTTTAAAGCCTTGTACATACATTTGTACAGACTATCACTTTTTCGCACATATCGTTTTATTTGCCTATTTAGCGATTCAACACGATTATTCCTGCTGTTACCCAATGTTAAAACATGACCGTAAAACGCACGCGCCCACATTGTCTTACGTGCCATCCAAAAACGTGACAGGTACTGACCTATCAATCTGTCCCACCGATTTATTATTCCGTAATATTGATTAAATCCAGTGAATAAACACATTACTAAGATTACCTTCCAACCGTTTCTGCAGTTACCAATCGAGTTAAGTACGTTTTCAGTATTTTGTCGTTTGTCTAAGGGCAATTTTATATAAGCAACCATTGGTGTACCTTTTTCCGGAAAGCGCGAATTACATGAAAGGTGCACAAACTTATGTTTGCATGTCCGTGTGTTAAACAGACAGCCGCGCTTTCACATCGTGCGCAATCCATCACAAATGTTTCAGTCAACATTGTGTTACGCATTATCTCTTTGAATCGATCTAAGGTTCATATCACATCGGCACGCTTTTCCCTTCGTGTCCACGCAAACATTACAGTTCGTCCTCTACCCCAATTATCCGCCACCACTAACTGGAATAACGAATATCTACATAGTAAAATACAACGATAAACATATTCACTTTTTATTATTAGTATTATACGTAGAATCAATCCACAAAACTTCTGGATATTTCCTGTACAGTTGTATTTGGTCATAACTACTGAAGCACATTCTCGTGGTATATCCATTTTCTAAATGTTCTCTCACTTCGCCTTTCTGTCTCAGCATATCCATCACCTGCTTCCGAGTAAAACAACCTGAAATATATTTATATACACTTACCAGTTGAGAGTGTAGCTCTCATACCTTTGACATCGGCAGCAGTTACTTGCTTACCAGTTCTCTCCTTAATACTTTCGATAACTTCATCTGCTGACTCACAGTGAAGTATTACGGGCTTCAAGTTCTCTTTTTCTTCTGATGATAATCTCCTTGTCCATGGATCACATACCATCCATGAACTACTACATGGATGATTGTGGAGCATGTTGTAGGATTTGATGACATATCCTTGCTCCTCTAATCTTACACGGAATTTAGATTGACAATTACGGAATTTAGACCTTAAACATAAGATATTAGTTAAAGATCTTACGATTTTTGGTTCACTTTCAAACCTTCCGATTTCCGTTTATGGCCAAACGTACAATTAAACGTTACGAACAGGTATTTAAACCTGACATCCTTCAGCAGTCTGCTTTCCGTGTGGATGTAACGAGTATAAGTAGTCTGAGAAGCGATAAAATTATAATTCCATACTTTTTGGAACTCTTTTAAGGCGCTTTCAAAATCATCCCACAGCACGAAACGCTTGTCAAGTATCATACTTCGAAAGGCATCGGTAAGGTCGACTGAAATGTCACTTGAGCATGAAGCACTAAAAACATACATGACTAATTATTAAAAAGTTATTCTTTGCAACAATAATAACCTAAGGAGATACTACAAATACTTAGGATTTACCTGTGACTTGACATTTCGTTGTTGGGATCAAAGATCAAATTACAAAGCAACGACAAAGCCAAAGTGTACACTACAAAACAGAGAATGCTAAATTAATGGTTTTGGTATTTATTTCGTGCTTTTTCATGCAGCATATATGAAAAAACTTGATACTCATGCAATCCAACCAACCCACGGCAATTGAAATACGGAATAACCGCCTCTAGCCAGGCCGTTCAAGGTCGTTGAAACGAAAGGTCGGGCACATGCGATGGGACCTAACGTTTAAACCGTGCCGTTTCACTTGTACTCTTTGGCACGGTCTCGATATTATTTCGATACCACGTGATTGCCAACAAATACGTCTCGACCACAGCCATCAACTGCCTTCTGATATTTGGCTTACGGGGGATCTTATCGGTTAACTGTCACGTAGTCTTCTTGTAGTGGTGATCATAGTCAACCGCGACTCGACGCCGCACTACAAGGTCCTAGTACTCAGTCCTGGGTGAGCTTAATCGGACATCCTCTATCTTGAGAGAAAGTAAAGTTTACCCTGACATCAAAAAGTCGATTACTTATGTATAAAACAAGCCATTCAATGATAGTAACTTGATGCACGTTCGTTTGAGCTTATTGATAAGACATGTATGATTGACCCTACAAAATCCTTATGGGAAGTCAAAGTATACGACTTCCACCTTTCCCTTGAGATCAAAGATGGTTGTCCACCTATCCACTGCAGTCAGTAAGTTGGTTATATGAAAGTGACCTTTACTGAAATCGTGCTGTCGGGGTGGAAAAAAATAAATGGATAGTAAGAAGTCATGTAGACCTTTGCATATCAGGGACTCCATAATTTTTGATGGTAGAGTAGCGGTAAATAAATTCCCAAAATAAATAGCCCTAAGTTTTCGACATTGGATGCTGACCATATGTTTTAGTGGACTCATCTAGCTGAAGGCGCTCGGTCTTGCATCCGCACCAGATCACGTGTGGTAACGCCGTGCTCAACATCAACCACAATCGCTAGCCAGATTAGATCAGAGAATTCCGATATATTGGTCATCGCCAAATATACTCTTCCGATCTCCTCGACTCTCTCTTTTGATTTCTCTGGGTGGGAACGAAATATATTAGGTGTTACTGGTAGAAGCGTTGTCAAACACTGAATACCTGTGACATCATCATTGGTGAAACCGACGTGATCTGATACACCTAATTGCGACTGTGAGTCTGTTCCTTTTTGGGATTTTTATATATCATTACCCTATTTTTTTATTTTTTTTTAAACATTGTGATTTTTTTTTCGTATTTTTTCTTGGATATATATATATTTTCCCCTCGTTCAGTATCGTACTTCATATTTCATCATGACTGAACAGACACCTAAAGTACTCAAGCTTAAGACTTTGTCCCTGCCTTCGTTTCAACTGATGCCTTTCTGGCCCGACAACATCGAAGCCTGGTTTTGCTACGCAGAAGCCGACTTCCACGAGCACAGCGTGAACGACACACGTGCACAATTCCTCGTAGTAGTCAAGACACTGACGCGGGAATTCAACAGGTACGTAACACCTGGTATGTTTACTAGTGATGTTTCCGAACCTTACGAAATCTTGAAACGTTCGATTCTTAAACGAGGAGACCTAACCGACCGACAAAGGTTAGATCAAATCTTCAATAACATCAACCTGCAACACGGTTCTGCGACGGACATGTTGCAACGGATGAGAGAGGTAATAGGCCCAAGAACTTTCGACGAAGGTCTATTCAAACAACTCTTCTTGTCAAAACTTCCCCAACAGGTGCAAGCAGTTCTGGTCTCGTTCCAGAACAACGCCTTAGACGAGCTGGCTGCATCTGCCGACCGCATTTTAGAAATCACGAAACCTTCTACTACCGAGGTATTTTCAGTCACAGAAAAACCTCAAACGACTCAGAATGATATAACCGAGTTATGTCATACACTCACGCGTTATCTTAGTCTTCGTACCGACCGTAAGAGATCGCGCACTCCACGTAGAAGCATTTCACGTAAGCGATCTGTCTCTAGACCACGAGAGACAGATAACCCCGACTGGTGCTGGTATCATAACCAGTATGGAGAGCTTTCCAGAAATTGCAGAAAACCCTGCAATTTTCCCAAGACGAAACCGACTGATTCGAAAAACAGTTCGGGAAACTTCCAAACCGGCACGCGTTAACGGCAACCGTAGCCGGCGAACATAGCCGTCTGTTATACGTCACAGATGTGACAACGAGAGTTCGCTACCTCGTCGACACTGGCGCAGAAGTTAGCGTTCTCCCAGCGAATCCGAACGATCGGCTTCAAGATTCGGCTCTAAACTTACAGACGGCAAATGGAAAACCGATCGCTACGTATGGCAAAAGGTACGTTTACCTTAACGTGGGTTTACGCAAACCCATCCACTGGATTTTCGTTGTTGCAGATGTTTCTATGCCAATCATTGGTATGGACCTTCTACAACACCACAATCTGATCATCGACACGCGCAAACGGAGACTAGTAGATGGAAACACTAATTTGTCCGTTTGCGTAACTTCCTTCTCTGGTTGCAGATTATCCCCAGTCACAGTTAAGCATATGATCGACCCACTTTATCAGCCACTACTCGATAAGTACCCTGGGATACAACAAACTCAACCGAAACTACCGTGTGTAACCAGCAATGTTACACATCACATCACGACTACAGGACCACCTGTATTTTCTAAAGCACGACGACTAGCTCCTGAAAAGCTAAGGTTAGCAAAAAACGAATTCGATCACATGATGGACTTAGGAATCATACGACCGTCAAGCAGCCCATATTCATCTCCGTTGCATATGGTCCCTAAAAAGGACAGCAACGATTGGCGTCCAACTGGTGACTATCGGCGATTGAACGCGAAAACCATTCCCGATCGTTACCCATTGCCCCACATTCACGATTTGACAGCTACTTTGAAAGGTACAACTGTCTTTTCGAAAATCGACTTGGTTAAGGCGTATAACCAAATCCCTATGGCTACTGACGACATACCGAAAACAGCTATCATAACTCCTTTCGGACTCTATGAATTTTTGCGAATGCCTTTCGGTCTAAGGAATGCTGCTCAAACATTCCAAAGATTCATAGACGACGTTTTTCGAGGTCTCAACTTCGTACGCGCGTATGTTGACGACTGTCTAATCGCAAGTCCGGACAGAGAAACACATCTCAGGCATCTGGATCTTGTTTTCGAACGACTACAAAAACATGGCATAACTGTAAACGTTCAGAAATGCCAAATCGGAACCGACTCGTTAGACTTCCTAGGACACACTATCGATGATCAAGGTATCCGACCCCTTAGAACCAAAGTGGCGGCCATTCTGGATTACCCAGAACCAACCACCGTTAAGCAATTACGCACGTTTAACGGGCTCGTAAGTTTCTATAGACGTTTCATACCGAAATGCGCATTACTCATGAAACCGCTAACCGACCAACTTCGCGGAAATGCGAAATCCATTAATTTGAAGGACACCGCACGAAAAGCATTCTCCACAGTTAAGGAACTGATCGCTAAAGCAACAATGCTCGCACATCAGGACACCGAAGCACCCATTAGTATCGCAGTAGACGCATCCGACTCGGCAATCGGAGGAGTCTTACAACAATGGGTCAACAACTCATGGCAACCCTTAGCATTTTTTTCTAGACGGTTGCTAAACACCGAATCCAGGTACAGCACATTCGGTAGGGAACTCCTAGCTATGTATTGTGCTGTACGGCATTTCCAACACTACATCGAAGGCCGTGAATTCACTCTTTTCACGGACCATAAACCGCTCACTTTCTCGTTAAGCTCTCCTTCTGACAAGTACTCTCCTCGTGAGTCTCGACAACTGGACTACATTTCGCAGTTTACGTCAGATATTCAACATATTTCTGGAGCAAACATTGTGGTCGCAGACGCCTTATCTCGCATAGCTTCCTTGAACAGTTTCCAAGGAATCGACCTTCTTAAACACGCCGAGCTTCAAAAAGAAGACACTGATCTTCAGCACGAGTTATCGTCCACAACCCTTAAACTACGCATCAAACAGATGGGAACAGGTAAGGAAACCTTACTTTGTGACACATCTACAGGTAGGGATCGCCCAATCGTGCCGAAACATTATCGACGCAATGTCTTCAATACATTGCACAAACTTTCTCATCCAGGTGTTCGTGCAACCATCAAGCTTATAGCAGAACGGTTTTGCTGGCCTGGTATGAATAAAGACGTGAGGGAGTGGGCACGCTCCTGTGTAAGCTGCCAAAAATCTAAGGTTATCAGACACAATAAATGTCCCTTAGGCTCATTTAAAACTCCCGATGCTCGTTTCGACCATGTTCATCTGGATTTGGTAGGACCTTTACCAGATTCAAATGGATACTCTTACCTCTTAACCTGCGTAGACCGTTTCACTCGATGGCCAGAAGCAGTACCTATCAAGGACATCACTGATGAAACAGTGGCCCGCACCTTCGTCGAACGATGGGTAGCAAACTTCGGCTGCCCTTCAACCATCACTACAGACCGCGGACGTCAGTTTGAATCTGATCTTTTCTGTCGTCTGACCACACTTCTAGGAATCACTCGCTTCCGAACGACCGCCTACCATCCACAAGCAAACGGGTTGGTAGAACGTTTCCACCGACAGCTAAAAGCTTCACTATCAGCTGCAAACGTTTCACAGTGGACCGACGCACTTCCACTCGTCTTATTAGGTATTCGCAATGCAGTGAAAGCCGACATTGGATACACTGCGGCTCAACTCGTTGATGGAACGACACTTCGACTTCCAGGAGAATTCGTGGATTCTTCATCCTCTTCAATGAACATGGATCTAACCTCCTACACGAACAGGCTTACAAACGCAATGCGTTCAGTTAAACCTGCTTCCACTCGACCTCAATCAACTGATGTTTTCGTTCAACCTGACATACGATATAGTACACACGTTTTCGTTCGTCGAGACTCGCATGGACGACCATTCGAATCAGCATACGAAGGACCCTTCAAAGTTCTTCAACGTGAATCTAAGTACTATATAGTCGATAAGAACGGAACCAACGATAGCATCAGCATCGATCGCTTAAAAGCAGCGTATTTAGAAGGAAATCCTATCTACGTCGATTTTCCTTCGGTACAATCGAATGACACGACTCCGACGCT